AATCTGGCAATGGTTTCTTTCAGCGTCTACAACACTGAAACATCTCAAAGTACTTCAAAGGCAATTGCTGCCAGGTATAGTGACTGTTGAAGCGCTCTGAGACGCTGTCTGGCGTGGAGGGCGCTATATAAATCCAAGTTGTTGTTGTATATCTATATACCGACCCAGCAGCCAATTTGAACATACTATACCGCAACCAGTCAAAGAAGAGAACAGACCAGTTTATCTGGAGAGAGAAACTCCCTTCTCTTTTCCAATAATATTACTACACCTTAATGTCCATCCAAATAGGCAAATGGCTAAAAAAAAAAATTTGTTCACTAAAATTCATGACTGCTGTGCGCAATTGCTGCCATGTTTTGCCCACATAATATACAGTCAATTCACTTTATAGTATATCCTGTGAAGCACTTTGAGACGTCTCAAAGACATGATAAGGCACTGTATCAAATGCAACGAATATTATTATTACTATTATTATAAACTGTGGTTTAACATCTCTTCAGAAGAATGGCACCTCTGACAAAATGTGGCTACGCCAGCCAGGCACTGGATAAACATTAAGCCCAGTTGGGACATCAGTTGGTTGAAAACAGTGAAATAGGAATCAGTGATAAAAATAGCACTTCCTTTCACAGTAAAGTTGTCTCCATCGTATTTCAAACAAACAATTGACTGACCCTGACCTTTCACCCCAACACTGCACACGAGGACTGTATTGGTGGCGGTAAACACAAAGTTATTATTTTGTAGAAAATTTTTAATATGAAAAGTAAGCATTTAAATCGTCCAAGTTCCCTTCTCCCGCACTGAAAGGAACCTTTTAAGCCTCAGCACGTCAATATGTCTGACCACTTAATTACTGTCAAGCATAGTGGCTGTTTTTGTAGGCAAACACAGAGACCAACAATGTCCCACAAACAGACATGAAGGGAATGACTAATAATTCTGAGAGTTGTTGGCCAGAACACAGGGAGGAACTCTTTTTATTTCCCCCCAAATCATGCTATGGCATTGGTAACATCCACCTGACTATTCTCTTTGACCGTGCCTTCAGCTCTCCTCTCGACTCTCTACCCCTTCCTCGCTCCCTCCCTTCCCTCTCCTCACCCTGACCATTTCCCCCCCAATGCTCGGGTCCTGACCCAACTGTACAGCGCCTTGGGACGTCCTCCCGACGTGAAAGGCGCTCAATAAATGGAATCTTGTTGTTGTTGTTGTATCCAGAGGCAGATACAGCCTGGGTTTAATGTCTCATGCAAAGAACACCACCAACAATGCAGCTCTCTCTCCAGCACTGACAGAGACAGAGGTGAGCAGCAGTCAAGCCAGATACAATAAATGGACAGTCATTTGTTTTGATCAATATAATTACAGCCCAGACACAACCAGACACATTCCCTTTGTTTTTAGGAACTCAAGTCATGCAGTCTAGATGTTACATCTCTTTCTGGCCAGGTGACTGAACCAAACCAACATTTGGGGGTTTTAATCCCTCAAGATTAGGGAAGGGAAGGTCAGCCATAGCTCCGAGAAACAGGGAAACAGGAATAGGCCATTCAGCCCCTCAGGTCTGTTCCGCCATTCTATAAGATCATGGCTGATCTGTACCTCAACTCCTGCGTGTGATCAGTAATAAGTGACTCATTATTATTATTATTATAATGCATCCTTGCATATGTCTAGTGCCTTATTACATCATTGAAACATCTCAAAGCGCTTTGTAGAATCCACTGTAAAGTGTAGTGACTGTGTATTTTGTGGGTGAAATGCAGCAGCCAGTAATGCACAGCAGTGTCCCACAAACAACCATGAAGTGAGTGACCAATTTTGTTTTGGGGGATTGTTAGCCAGGACACCGAGAGAGAAACTCGCTGCGCTTTTCAAATGGCGCCATGGGATCTTTAACAACCACCTGAATAGGCAGACGGGGTCTGTCTGTTCAATTGTCTCATACAATTGTGTGTCAACCTGGCTCAGTTATTAGCTGTTTCAGCTCTGAGTCAGAAGGCAGGTGCTTGGAACCCATAGAAATAATAATAATCCTTGCATTTGATATAGCGCTTTTCACGTCGGGAGGACGTCCCAAAGCGCTTCACATAACACACTGTAAAGTGAATTGACTGTATATTTGTGGGCGAACGCGGCAGCCAATTGCGCACAGCAATGTCCCACAAACAGTCGTAGATTGAAGATGACCAATTTATTATTGTTTTTGGTTTTGGAGGATTATTATTAGGCTCTGTGTGGAGTAAGGAAACTTGCCCAAGGTTTCGCCCTGTCTGGAATTGAACTCAGGTCTCTCGCTTGCAAAGCGAGTGCTCTAACCACTCAATGAGGCTGACATTCCAGGTCATGCCTGGGAGTGTGTTACTTTGTCAGGAAAGCTATTAAACAACAACAACAACAACAAGATTCCATTTATAGAGCGCCTTTCACGTCGGGAGGACGTCCCAAGGCGCTGTACAGTTGGGTCAGGACCCGAGCATTGGGGGGGAAATGGTCAGGGTGAGGGGAGGGAAGGAAGGGAGGGAGCGAGGAGTGGGTAGAGAGTCGAGAGTGGAGCTGAAGGCACGGTCAAAGAGAAAGGTTTTGAGACCGGCCTTGAAGGAGGAAAGGGAGGAGGCGGCGAAGGCACTGGGGGATGGAGTTCCAGAGCCTCGGGGCTGAGAGGCTGAAGGCCTGGCCACCGATGGTAGGGCGGTTGGGGCGGGGGACGTGGAGCAGACCGGAGCCAGAAGAACGGAGGGTACGGGCAGGTAGGTAGGGGGATAGTAGGTCGGAGAGGTAGGAGGGAGCAAGGCCATGAATGGCCTTGTAGATGAGGATGAGGATCTTGAATTCGATCCTCTGGGGGATGGGGAGCCAGTGGAGGCGAGCGAGGGTGGGAGTGATGTGGTCGCGGTGTCTGGTGCGGGACAGTACACGAGCTGCAGAGTTCTGAATGACCTGCAGTGTGGAGGGAGGGCCGGGAAGGCCTCCACAGAGGTTCCATTTCTCCTTGTTCTGGTGGACATTAAAGATCCCATGGCACGATTCAATCCTGTGTTTGAAAACAGAAGAGAGTTTCTCCTGGTGTCCTGGCCAATAGCATTGGTCACCCCCCCTCCCCCCAAAATAAAATTGGTCATTCACTTCACTGCTGTTTGTGGGACGTTGCTATCCACAAATTGGCTGCTGTGCCACAAAAACCACAGTTACTCCACTTTGAGACTTTCTCCTGCCGTAAAAGTTGCCGTATCAAACGTAAGGATCATTTAATAGACTGAGTGTCCGTACCGTCCAGCCTGGGTTGCTCTCTGTGACATGTGATACATCCAGCATCACCTAATGGTCTACAGCTCCCCTTATCAGCAGATAATAATAATAATAATAATCCTTGCATTTGATATAGCACCTTATCACATTGTTGAGACGTCTCAGAAGCGCTTCACAGGCTTTACTGTGTATTTTTGTGGCATAATAATAAAAACAATAACTGCACCTACAAAACCTCTCAAAAGCACTTGATAGATATTACTGTAGAGTGTAGTGATTGTGTGTTTGTAGGCAAATGCAACAGCCAAATTGAATACAGCAATGTCCCACAAACAGCTATCAAGTGAGTGACCAATTTTGTCCGGGGGATTGTTAACCAGGACACCAGGAGAGAGAAACTCCCTTCGCTTTTTCGAACAGTGCCACGGGATCTTTAAACATCCACCAGAACAAGCGGATGGGTTCGCGACAATTCTCCTTTCCCAGACCCCACACTTCCCCCTCTTTCATCTTGCAGAGACCGGAGTCAGGAGGAAAGGGAACAGACAAAGACATCAATGAGGGGAAAAGGGTAACTTACTCACTTTGTGGGGGAAAAAAACACATTCGTAACATCAGAAAACAAACTGCACATTGGGAGGAGGTTAATCTACAATAGAGCGGTGGTGGTGGGGCAGTGGGGGGGGGGGGGGGGGCGGGGGGTGATGTCCAGGCTGTCTCAATCCTCAAGCACAATTTTCCTCCCTCTGGACTTGATCCCAAACAAACTGCCCCATTACAAAAAGAGGAGGCAATGTATGGGGGGGGGGGGGGGTTGGAGTTCACTAATCAGTCACACATGGCCCCGTTTGAAGGAACTTCTGGGGAAAGGGAAGGCCTTTTGGTTACATTAATACCCGGCATTGAATACCAAAAAAAAGTATTTGCAATAAATCGGGTTATTTCAGATCAAAAGAGTGGGAGAGAGAGAGAGAGAGACAGAGCGAGAGAGACACAGAGAGAGAGAGCCAGAGAGACAGAGAGAGGGAGAGAGATACAGAGAGAGGGAGAGAGAGACAGAGAGAGAGAGACAGAGAGAGAGAGAGACACAGAGAGAGAGAGAGAGAGAGAGAGAGAGACAGAGAGAGAGGGAGAGAGAGACAGAGAGAGAGAGAGAGAGAGAGACAGAGAGAGAGGGAGAGAGAGAGAGAGAGACACACAGAGAGAGAGAGAGAGCCAGAGAGAGAGAGACAGAGAGAGGGAGAGAGAGACAGAGAGAGAGACAGAGAGAGACAGAGAGAGGGAGAGACAGAGAGAGACAGAGAGAGGGAGAGAGAGACAGAGAGAGAGACACAGAGAGACAGAGAGGGAGAGACAGAGGGAGAGAGAGACACAGAGAGAGACAGAGACACAGAGAGAGACAGAGACAGAGAGAGAGAGAGACACAGAGAGAGAGAGAGACACAGAGAGAGACAGAGAGAGAGAGAGACAGACAGACAGACAGAGAGAGAGAGTGTCTAAAGGAACCGACTCTCTGCCTTTCAGACCCATTAACCCACAGAGGACAATAGTCAGTGGAGAAACCGGACATTGGGGTCAATGACAATTGTTACAGATCGACACTCGGGAACACCGTTACATTGTATCGCGTTCGGTCACCGGTAACATTGTTGCAGATTGTGAACCGATCGTTACATTGTTGCGCGGCGCCGTGAGAGCTCCGCCCACAGCACTACAGCGGCGGAGACACTGCGGACACTTACCATCGCCCCCCGACTCCTGTCCATGGCGGGGGCTGGGCCCGGGGTCCCGGGGGCGGGGGGCTGGGGGGCTGGTCCCGGGGTCCGGGGGGCTGGGGGTCCCGGGGGCGGGGGGCTGGGGGGCTGGGGGGCCGGGGAGTTGGGGGTCCCGGGGGCGGGGGGCTGGGGGGCTCGGGGGCTGGGGATCCCGGGGGCCGGGGGCTGGTCCCGGGGTCCGGGGGGTTGGGGGGCTGGGGGCTGGTCCCGGGGGCCGGGGGGTTGGGGGTCCGGGGAGTTGGGGGTCCCGGGGGCCGGGGGGCTGGTCCCGGGGGCCGGGGAGTTGGGGGTCCGGGGGGCTGGGGGTCCGGGGGGCTGGGGAGTTGGGGGTCCGGGGGCTGGGGGCCGGGGAGTTGGGGGTCCCGGGGTCCGGGGAGTTGGGGGTCCGGGGGGTTGGGGGTCCGGGGAGTTGGGGGTCCGGGGGGTTGGGGGTCAGGGGGGCCCCGGAGCTGAAGCTGAGCCGCGCCGCCCTCCTCTCCGCACTTCTTTTCTTTTCTCTTCACATCCAACCTTGACGGGAATGGTCTGAAGACTGAGCGGAGGGAGGGAGGGAGGGAGGGAGGAGGGAGGGAGGGAGGGAGGAGGAGGAGGGAGGGAGGAGGAGGGAGGGAGGAGGGAGGAAGAAAGAGGGAGAGAGATTGTCCTCCGGTTCCAATTCGTCCACTGATGAGTCCACACTTCCACTCTGACCCCCCCCCCCCCCCCCCCAGTCAGTCTGGATGTGGTCAGGCAGAAGCGCCTCCTCTCTCTCTCTCTCTTCTCTTTCCTTTCCTCTCTCCTCTCCTCTCCCTCCTCTATCCTTTCCTCTCTCCCCCCCTCTCCCCTGCGTCCTCTTCTCCCCTCTTTACCCTCTCCTTTCTCCCTCTCTCCTTTCCTCTCTCCTCTCTCTTTTCTTCTGTCTCCTCTCACCTTTTTTCTCTCTCTCCTTTCTTCTTTCCTCACTCTTCTTTCCTTTCCCCCTTCTCTCTCTCTCTCTCTCCTCTCTCTCCTGTCTCTCTTCACTGCAGGTGATGCCGACACTGTATCGCTATGTTTATTGAGCAGGAAGTGGGAACCCGGTGGTTGTTTGATTGGTGGATCACTTTTCTGGGGGTAATAATCCCTTTTTTTNAAAATACATAAAAATGTTGGTCATTCAATCCACGACTGTCTGTGGGACGCTGTTGTGCGCAATTGGCCGCTGCGTTTTCGCCCACAAAATACACAGTCAATTCACTTTACAGTATATTCTGCGAAATGCTTTGAAACGTCTCGAAAACGTGATAAAGAGTGATATCAAATGCAACAATTATTATTATTTCCAACTCTGAGACTCCGGGGCAGTGAATTCATTCATCGTTTGTCTAAAGAATTTTTTGTTCTCAAGATCTTTGTCATTCACCCACTTATCATTCCCACCGACCCCCTCACCCCACCTTGTTTCTCTTGTTGAAATCAAGGGGAAAAATAATTAATAATAATAATCTTTGCATTTGATGTAGAGCCTTATCACGTCTTCAGGATGTCTGAAAGTGTAGTGACTGTGCATTTTGTAGGAATTTGCACACAATTTGCTGTCCCATAAACAACCGTGAAATATATAAGTATTTAACGAGGGTTTGTTGGCCAGGACACCAGGACAAAGTCTCCTCTCTTTCTGACTCAATGAGATATTTATCTAGACAGGATTTTGGTTTAGTGTCAGCCTAGACTATGTACTCCTGTAGCTCAGTGGTTACAGCACTCGTCTCACAAGCGAGAGATCTGGGTTTGATTCCCGGCAGGGCGAAACCTTGGGCAAGTTTGCTTACTCCCACGCCTGATAATAATCCCTTAAGAAAAAAACAATAATAAATTGGTCACTTCAATCCACAGCAGTTTGCGAGACGCTGCTGTGCGCATTTGGCTGCTGTGTTTCACCCACAAATATACGGTCAATTTACTTTAGTCTATTCTGTGAAGCGCTTTGAGTCGAGAAGACGTGAAAAGCGCTATATCAAATGCAAGGATTATTACTATTATTATGAACTCAAAGTCCCAATGTGGGACTTGAACCCACAATCTTCTGATTGATCAATGAGGTGAGTGGGCAATTAATTTTTGGAAACCCATAGTGTAGTAGTTAGCGGGTTCACCTCGCAAGCGAGAGGCCAGCAGCAGTGAACTGTAACCTCACAGTGGTCAGTCAGCCTCTGAGCTGGTCTGGGTTACACCAAGATCTCAGACTGTGATACCACAAGTGCGCCGCCTGCTGACCTCGATGGAGAACTGCCCCCCCGCAGTGATGGAATCAACCTTACCCTGGAATGTGGAGGACAACAACAACTTGCGCCCTTCACTCAGCGCAGGGTCTTGGAGCACTTGACAGTGGCGGAGCCTGTCGCCGAGTCAGGGGGAGAACAGGAAAGCCCAATACTAACCCAGAGTAAAAAAACTTTAAATTTACTTAAATTTATTTAAGATAATAAGTCATCCTAAATAATAATAATAATTTGGTCGCTCAATCCAGGACTGCTTATGGGACACCGCTGTGTGCAATTGGCTACCGCACTTGCCCACAAAACATACACTTTGTATATTCTGTGAAGCACTTTGAGACGTCTGGAAAACATGTTAAACTGCTATATCAAATCAGGGATTATTATCATTATTATCCTAAATGCTGTCTTTCATATCCTTTGATTAGTCTGTCAGCCTCGCTAACATGGCGCCGCGCTTTGCTCTGGCTCGGGGTGTCGCAACATTGAGATTTCAGAGTTAGAATCTGGGCTGACAGTCCAGTGCGGTGTTGGAGGAGCACTAATTGTCATGTGCTTAATTAAGAGTGTCCAAACCTAACTGAGAAGTCTATGGAAATTCCAGAGACAGATTGTTTATTCGAATGGAATGCGCTCTCTCTCCCTACAGGGACGCTTCCTGCTTACATAATTCCAGAAAGTATTAAGTGCAGGTTAACCTGACCGGCCAAAAAGCGAATGAACCAATTTTATCTGTTTGACCAGGACACTGGGAGAGAGGAACTCCCTTCTCTTTTCAAATAGTGTGTTGGGAACCTTAATATCCACTCAGCGAGCAGACTGGACCTCAGCACCTCTGACAATGCAACCTTTCCCCAAGGAGGATAATCACATGCTTCGATGTTACAGATGGATTATGAATTGTAAGGATTCTTCTTATTAATTATTGTATTCACCAATTCACTCTCCAATTCCCTCTTGAATTTTGAGATGAGATGATTATTATTTATCCTTATTAATGACACCACACGGCTCCTGGACAGAGATATCTTTAATATTTTACACATGACATACATTCTGAAATCGAATGCAATGAGCGGGAAATAAACAAACTCATTTAATACGACCGGTGTATCTGAGAAGTAACGTTTCACAAGAGTTTAAGAAACAAATCATCAGACTAATGGATGGGCTTTAATCTTCTCTCCCAATGTTCGTCTGGCTGAACTGGTGGGTTCAGACTGGCCCTGGTCCAATGCTTCTTGTGTGAGGCTTCTTGTGTGACGCAATGCATCACCTGACATTGCGGAATGTCCCATCCAGTCCTTGCAGCACAGGTGGGAACCCGGAGCAGGAGCCGAGCCTGATGTCCGCCTCCTGAGACCACCTGTAGCAGCTTTGTTGCAAATGGAATATCGCAGAATAACCCGGGACTCAAACCTGGTTTCCCCAGACTCCAGGCTTCAGTTTCACTCTAGTTAGTGGCTTCACCAGCCCAACACACTGGACAGTAATGTTCGCCCACAAAACACAGTCAGTTCACTTTACAGGATATTCTGTGAAGCGCTTTGAAACATCTAGAAGACGTGATAAGGCACTGTATCAAATGCAAAGATTATTATTATTAATTCCATGTTATAGGCGTTCTATCAATGGCAAGGATTATGGACTGTGTGTGTATCTCTAATTGTAACTGTCATGAGGCTGTGTGTGTATTTTTGCAGTCTATCCTGTGAAGTGCTGTGTGAAAGGCGTTATTACCAAATTCAAGGATTATTATTATTATTGTTATTATTATTATGTGGTACATGTGTGGATTGAGTGACCAATACTTTTTTTTGTGGAGGGATTATTAATAATAATAATATTCCTTGCATTTGATATAGCGCTTTTCACATCTTCTCGATGTCTCAAAGCGCTTCACAGAATATACTGTAAAGTGAATTGACTGTATATTTATGGGCGAAACGCGGCAGCCAATTGCGCACAGCAATGTCCCACAGACAGTCGTGTTTTGAAAATGACCAATTTATTATTGTTTTGTTTTGGAGGGATTATCATTAGGCTCTGTGTGAAGTAAAGAAACTTGCCCAAGGTTTCACCCTCTGCCTGGAATTAAACCCAGGTGTCTCGCTTGCAAGGTGAGCGCTCTAACCACTGAGCTACAGGACTCCACATTTTCCCCGGAAAAGCCATCCGCCAATCGACTAACGACCAGATTTCTACTTATTGCTGGGTAAAGAGAGACGTGTGGAGTAAGGAAACTTGCCTAAGGTTTTGACACAGCCGGGAACCAAACCCAGGTCATCTCGCTTGTGCTGCGAGCTCGCTACTCCCTACACTACAGGATTTATCAGTGTTGGTGAAACAATGAGATACAGGGACTGCTGTGTGTGTATGTGGGGGCGGGGGAGGGGTGTGTTGGGGGGGGGTGTTGGGGAGAGGGTTATGTCAGGGAAGTCACTGTGACATTGATGGGAGGATTCCATTTGTCTTGCGAAATGAACCCTGGAAGTTTCAATCCCATGTCTAGCTGCTGGCTTCCTCTGACTCGCAATAGGGGGATGAGGGTTTGGATTCCCCGTCACTGTTGCAGTTCTGCTTTGAGGCAGGGGAGCTCTGCTGAGCGCTGTCCTTCTGCTCCTGTGTGACCTCCCCCACCCCGGCCCCCACCCCAGTGGGACTACGGCTCAGCAAGTCCTGGAGGTATTTGATGTATCCGATGGCTGCTCGCAGTGTCTCCACTTTACTGAGCCGCTTCTCAGCCACGGCACTGGGGAGGTGATCGCGGAGCCTGGTATAGCCCTCGTTCACACACTTAACCCTCTGCCTCTCTCTCTCGTTTCTCTTCTGGATGAAGGCCGGCTCGAAGGGACAATCATAGATTCCAAAGTGGCCATGAAAGGGCACGTAGGGAAACATGCTGCCGTAAGTGTCATAGTAGGCGGACTCCAGGTTGGTGGGGTAGACCAGGAACGGCATGTGGGCTAAGCTGTCTCCGTGGGAGACGTGCGGAGAGCAATGTGGGGAAGGATTCCCAGGCAGAGGGACTCCCAGTTGCATACAGTTGGGGACAGCGATTGGCCTCCTGTCCATCAGGGGCCTGGGATAGTTGCCATTCATCCCGGATCCCAACGCGGAGGTCGAATTGGGGAATCTCTCGGTTGTCAAAGAGCAAGCCAGCGAGTGAGCAGCAAAGAGCAAAGTGGGGTTGGGCTTCACTTGATGGGATGCATGGTCTTTCGAAGCAAAACAAAACTCAGCCTTTCTCTCACCTCAGCCCTCAGCAAATCACCAAATCACCGGCTCTGCAAGTAACACACATCAAAGACTCCTCAGCACCAGAGCAGAACCCAATTCAGAGACCCTAAGTTTATTGCGGTCTCATTAACTCCAGCCTCAGGGGATGGATGCTGGAGTTCAATGCTGGATTGAACCAAATGCTCTTTGGTGCAGAGCCTAATGGAGGTTTGCGTTGAGGAAATCTACAATCTGGGATTCTGTGTATGAGTACTGTATTTAGAAATGAGTCCATCCAGTTCAACAACAGCTCAAGATATTTATCTCCCTGTGTCTTGTTCCCATATTCAGGCCTCTGTAATACAAGAAGATTTTATTAGTGATTATACAGCAATGGAGACCTGAGTTATAAAGTGTTTTTGTCATTTAGTAATTAGCGTGACATTTAATACAATGTCTTATCACATCAAAACTTCTCAATGGCAAGCTGTGCGGTTTTAGCTGAATAGACCCCAGCATAAATCTTGTAGCTCAGTGGTTGGAGCACTCGCCTCGCAATCTGGAGACCTGGGTTCAATTCCCAGCAGAGCAAAATGTTGGGCAAGTTTCCTTACTCCACACTCCACCATTTACCTCGCAGTAAGTAGGAACCTGGTTGTTAGTTGATTGGTGGATCGCTTTTCCGGGGTAATAATTCCTTCAAAAAAATAATAATAAATTGGTCACTTCAATCCATGACTGTTTGTGGGACACTGCTGTGCGCAATTGACTGCCATGTTTTGCCCACACAATATACAGTCAATTCACTTTATATGGAGTCCTATAGCTCAGTGGTTAGAGCACTCACCTTGCAAGCGAGACACCTGAGTTCAATTCCAGGCAGAGGGCGAAACCTTGGGCAAGTTTCCTTACTCCACACAGAGCCTAATAATAATCCCTCCAAAACCAAAAACAATAATAAATTGGTCATTTTCAATCTACGACTGTTTGTGGGACACTGCTGTGCGCAATTGGCTGCTGCGTTTATAGAATCATAGAATCGTACAGCACAAAAAGAGGCCATTCGGCCCGAGTCTGTGACGGCTCTTTGAATAGAGCAATGTAATGTCAATCCCACTACCCGGCCCTTTCCCCATAACCTGCAAACCCGTCCTTCTCAAATACCGTCCACCGCGTTTTTAAAAAGTAGTTATTGAATCAGCCTCGACCGCCCTTTCAGGCAATGCCTTCCAGATTCGAACAACTCGCTGTGAAAAAAATTCTTCTCCCCTCCCCTCGGCTTCTTTTAGAGACTATTTTGAATCTGTGACCTCGAGTCACCGACACTCCCACCAGTGGGAACAGTTTTTCCCTTTCTAACCTATCAAATAACCTAATGATTTTGAAGACCTCTATCAGGTCCTCGTAACCTCCTCTGCTCCAATGAGAATAATCCCGGCCTCTCTCGCCTTTCCTCATCATCACGGTCCCTCATTCCTGGTCCCATCCTCGTAAATCTCCTCTGTACCCTTTCCAATGCCTTAACATCCTTCCTATAGTGCGGTGCCCAGAACTGGGCACAGTATTCCAACTGAGGCCTAACCAGTGTTTTATATGGGTTAATCATCACCTCCTGACTCTTGTACTCTATGCCCCTATTTATAAAGACTAGTATCCCATATGCCCTTTTTACAGCCCTATCTTCCTGTCCTGTCACCTTCAACGATTCATTTACCTGCCCCCCCAGGTCTCTCTGTTCTTTTACCCCCTTAAGATTGTATTACCGCCTATATTGCCCCTCATTCTTTCTACCAAAATGCATTACCTCACATTTCTCCACATTGAAACTCATCTGCCATGTGTCGCCCATTTTACCATCTGTCTATGTCTTCCTGCAGTCGGCTGCTATCCTTCTCACTGTTTACCACCCTACCTAATTTTGTGTCGTTTCGCCCACAAATTTTGCCCACAAATATACGGTCAATTCACTTTACAGTCTATTCTGTGAAGCGCTTTGAGACATCGAGAAGACATGAAAAGCACTATATCAAATGCAAGGATTATTATTATTTATTATTATTATATTCTGTGAAGAGCTTTGAGACGTTGGGAAGACGTGAAAAGGTGTTATATCAAATGCAATTATTATTATTATAAGAACATAAGAATTTGCTGGCGAAAGAAGATCAAGGTCCATCTAATTCGCTTTCCACCATCCTGGCAGTCGCTAGACATATCGTGTTCCAAACTATATACTGTATCCTGAGATACAATTTTCCAGCAGAATAGGCTCCTAGGGAACCTATTCCATAAGTTAATTACTCGCTCACTGAAGCAATGTTTCCGCAGATTTGTTCTGAGTTTACCTCCTTTAATCTCAGATTATGTCCTCTGGTTCTACTGTTCAGTACAAGATAAAACAGCCTATTATGGTCTACATTATCTATTCTCTTCAGAATCTTAAAGACTGTAATCATATCGCCCCTCACCCTTCTCTTCTCCAGTGTGAACATGCCCAGTTTATCTAATCGTTCCTCGTAATCCAGTCCCCCCCATCTCCTCAATCGTTTTGGTTGCCCTCCTCTGTATCCTAATCGTTGCAGTGACCAGAACTGCATACAGTATTCCAAGTGCAGTCACACCAGTGATTTATAAAGTGACAGGATTACCCCACTATTTCAGCTCAATATTGCCCTATTAATACAGCCCAGTATCTGGTTTGCGTGACTCACTGCCCCCGAGCGCTGTAGCGATAGCTTCAATTTATTATCAATCAGGATCCCTGGGTCATTTTCATTTTCCAAACAGATTATTTTCTTATCATTTAAATAATAGTCCCTTCCTTGATTTTTTTTAGCAGTTACCCCAACATACACTCTGGGGTCCCCAAGCCTTGGCTCTTGCCAACCCGCGTCTAAAACTTTTGGAATTAGGAACAGGATGTTTCCCTCCAGGGAGAGAGCACAAGAGAGAGCGCATTCCAATCCAACAGTCTACCTCTGGGATTTCCATGTGTAGGTGGGATCCATGGAATTCTCAGTTTGGATTGGATTCTCTTAAGCGCGGTGACGGGTTTCCGTGTGTGTCAGGCGCCCGGCTGACCAAAAAAAAAAGATCCTGTATCAGTACAAGGTGCTAAAAAATGTAAGTTACTGTATTATTGCTAACATCAGGAGATTTGAGGCTGTGTTATAGTGAATGTGACTATATGTATTCACTGGGACTGAGTCAATGGTTCTGTCAGTCATGGTTGCAGTACTTAGACTTACACACTAGATGGAGACACACACTCAGTTCTGCAGAGGGACTGTGATCCATGAGAACGCCACAGTTTGGAGAAAGAATAAAGTAATAATAATCTCAAATCAGTCTGCAATTATCTCCTGATTGTCGTCAGCTGGTCACCAGCAAACAACAGAGTTATAAAGAGTATATAAAAGTATTCTTGAGAATCAATGCTTAACAGGTACAAACTATGAAGGCAAATTCATAGACTCAAAGTAACGTTCTGTTACCCCGGCTCAGTTGGTAGCACTCTCGCCTCTGGATCAGGAGTCTGTGGGTTCAAGCTCCCGCACTGGGAGAGGTGTTGGAGGTGCCGTCCTGTGGATGAGACATTAAACCAAGGTTCTCTCTGCCTGTTCAGGTGATATTAAAGATCCCGTGGCACTGTTTGAAAAGAGAAGGGAGTTTCTCTTGAACAACAATCATTCAGATAATAATAATAATAATAATCTACGCATTTGACACAGCGCTTTATCATGTCGTAGAGACGACTCAAAGTGCCTCAGAATATACTGTGAAGTGAATTGACTGTTATTTTGTGGGCGACACAAGATGACTCAGTCCCTCACTTTAGATATAGAGTACTAGATGTTACACATGATGGTAATCAGCGTAAATGCTTTAAGATGTTTTAAGGTGATAAGTCCATATCAAAATCAAATGTTCTTTCTTAAATCTGTGATTGAGTTGTGTTGCGCTATTGTTGTTTCCTGTCAGTTTCAGAATGTAATCTGAAACTGGATTTGTGATGAATGCGTTCATCACATCCAGGCTCGGTAGCGCTAACTCCCTGTTTGTCGGCCTCCTCAACTCTTCCTCCACAAGCTGCAGATCATCCAGAACTCTGCAGCCTGTGTCCTCTCTCGCACCAGGCTCTGTGACCCCTTCACCCCCTCCCTCGCCCGGCTCTATTGGCTCCCCATCCCCCAGAGGATAGAGTTCAAAATCCTCGTCCTCGCCTTCAAAGCCCTCCACGGCCTCCTACCTCTGTGACCTACTAACCCCATATCAACCTGTTGCTCACTCAGCTCAGCGGGCTCTGGCCTGCTCCGTGTCCCTCGCTCGGCCTGCCCTCCATCAGTAGTCGGGCCTTCAGCCTTTCTGTGCCTACCTTTCGGATCTCCATCCCACGTTCCCTTCGCCACTCTCCCTCTGTTGCCTGTTTCAAAGCACATCTTAAGACTCCCCTCTGTGATTGAGCCTTCGGCCGTCCTCCTACCCTCCCAGCACTTTGCTGTGCGCAGTTGGCTGCAAAGTTTCACCCTCACGCGATAAGGCGTTGCATCAAATGCAAGGATTATTATTATTATTAAAGGGTGGTGTAACACACTTTGCTCACAAACACAGCAGCCAGTTCGCAGACAAGATTTTGCGACAAAGAGTCATAAAGTGAAAGATCAACTTTATCTGGAGGATAAGAGGCAGATGGGAGCCTGGTTGAACATGTCAACTGAAGGACAGCATTTCCGACAATATATCTCCCCCAACACTGCAGTGGAATGTCACTCTGGACTGTGAGCTTAAAGTTTCAATGTAGTGTTAGAACCCACATCCCTCTGACCCAGAGATAAGTGTGCACCGACTGAGCCAGGATGACACCTTGGCTCAATGCTTTTGTG